TTCAGCAGTACTCTGCTGCTGCCTCAATCCTATTCAAGTGTGAGATACAGATGGGTCTGGTTACTACTTTTCCCTGGGAGTGACAGGGTGTGTAAAATAATGGGACGGAGGGATTTAGCGTGGGTCAAAGTCCTTCTAACAAGACCAGTATGAGGTGAAAATTGAAGATCCAGTGACAGCAAAAGATCACTAAAACTATGCTCTGGTGTGAATGCTAGAGGTAACTATTCTCAATTGCATTAGAGGCTGAAAGCCTGTGACTGAGGTTGTAGTAAGAAAACTGTAAAGCAAACCATTACTAAGGTTTTCAGAGGCATGCAGCAGGAGGAAATGGCACCACAGGCTGCTTGCAGTGCAGAAGCATTTAAGGCTGGGCACAGGAGCGAGCAAGAAAGCAAGGCTATGTCACTCCAAATGCTGGAGTCTGCTGGAGCACTTTGGGTTTTGCTGTCAGTGCTTGCACTGCTTGGATAAGGTAGCAAGTGCAGCTCCAGAGGCTGGACTCCGGACAAGGATGGTTGTGATGTGCTGAGGTTCAGCCAGTGTGCAGAAGGCAATGCCTTCCTCTGTGTGCTTTTCCAGATCACTGGCTATTATGCAGTTGCAGAGTGAGGAAGTATTTTGGCTGTCATTAAGAGACACCCTTGCCTTTGGCTGTCATATCTGATCAGCTTGTTTAAAATGCACTTACGCAGTATCAGCTCATACCAGACCAAGGACTGATGAGCAGTCTGGTTCTTATCACTTTGCTCTCGGCTTTAAACCCCCATCATTTGTGGGCTTCAGAAGTTATAACTCGTCCTTTATGCAGCTTTCCCTTAAACAATAGTGACTGCAATTACAAGAATCACAGATAAATCTGAAAAATCCAACCGGTACTTTGGTAATTTTGTCACATCAAAGCAGTTGACAAACGTTTCCTTTTCTTCCTGGCATAATGCATCTCATTAGAAGCTGTCATTTATCATCGAAAGCTACAAGTGGTGGAATATGCTGACCTACTCCAGTGAGCTGCCTTTGAGAGCTGGAAGAAGAAGGATGCAGTTTCCTGTGGCCTTGCTGAAAGGAGCTATCATTCTGTTTTCTGTCTAGGTCAGGGCTCAGGTCGCTGCTTGTCTACCTGGTGAGTCACCAGAGTGCCAGAGGTAGCCAAAAGGAGAGGAAGAAAGCAGGAGGTTCAGCCAGGCACGAAACACTGCCTTTGGGACACTTCCTCACTACATCCTGGCCACTCTGCTCTACCTGAGCTCATAGTGACCATGCTTTAAGGCAACAAGACCCTCAAAAGGAAAACCTGTAAAACCACATGCTCCCTGCCAGTTCAAGTTATTTTGGGCAGCAGGTTTTTATTATGGATGCCAGCTAACAACAAGAAGACTGAGTCTTAAGAGTACACTGAACTATCTTCTTTTCGGACTGGTTCCTGTTGAGGACTGAGCTGTACTTTTTGATGAGGAATATTGCATGCATTTTCAGAGTGAGCACCAGAGTAAATGGGCTCCTTTAGCAGCTCAGCTCCGAGGGGACAAAATTATCTCTGGGAGCAAGACTGCCTGAACTACAGGGAGAAAATCCCCATCAGCTGGGCAGCTGATTCCTGTTTGAAGGTGAGACCAGAGTGTTGGGGCAATAGCCCTGTAATAAACCAAGCTGTGGAAGGGCAGTGTTCTTGAATGGAGAGATGAAAATTGCCCACATCCCCATTTCTGATGGTTTTCTGGTCTTTTTTCAAATCTGTTCTCTGAGCTGTTGAGTACAATCAGTGCAGACCTCTTGGACAGCAGCCAGGATGTAACCCTGAAGCAGTGCTGTCAGAAGAAGAGCGGCCAGGCAGAACTTCTGCTGTAGAATTGCTCAGCACATGTTCTGATGAGGAAGATTTTATTTCCCAAATAAGTAAACTATTAATCCTGCCTACTAGCTTTGTGTAGCATACATATCAGTAATATGTATGTCAGGAATTTTTCTTCTCCTAACCAGCCTTTTATGCTTTAGAAATACACTCCCTTCCTGCTCCTGCGTTCTTTACAGAGCATCCCAAATGACACATGGGTCAGGGGTGAGCTGGGTTTCTCTCCCCAGAGACATCCAGCACGTTCTTCCCAGGACGTTGGGTGGCTGTTTAACACTGACCCTGGTGTTCAAGGGCAAACACATTAGGCTGGGTTTGAGAATCATTTAGTCCTTTTTTTCTACCTCCTATTTGTTCTGTTTTATAACAAATCAAGTGCACATAAAAAAAAAATCAGGCCTTATTTATAATTCTCAGCTGGCCCATTCCTTGTTTCAAAGGTGTTGGTCGTGACTGTCTCTGCTTGGCTGGCTCGCACAGGGACTTCTGCTTTACTTGGAGCTCTGCCCCGGAGGAGGCCCCGACTCAGCGACGCAGCTCTGTGGCCCAAATGCAACTGCCAGAAGCCATAGCTTCAAACTAGATACTGTGTGATGGATGTGCAGTCCAGCACACTCTTTGCCATCCCCTGAACCTTATTTCCACTTTTTCCTCATTTTGAAAGGACCAGCTCTAGCAGGGCCTTGAGTCAGCTGGTGGCCAACTGAGCGGTTGCCCTAGAGCTCATCTCTCTTTCATGGTGGATGTTTCGTGTCTGTTTCCCAGGCTGAGTCCCCTCACCTTGCAGAGCCTCTTCTTGGGCTGGGAGCTGTGGACACCCCGATTTACTGTATGTCACTGTGCTATTTGCCCAGTAGGTTCTGTCTTTTGAGCCACCTTGTTCTCTGGAGACGTTTGCAGCAGTGCAGCAGAGGAGTGAGGGCAGAGCAGTGCTGCTGCGTGCTCTCGGCTGCCCGCTGCTGCTCCTCAGGTGCTGAGGGGCCTCTGCCCAGCTGGGCCCCTCCCCTCTCCAGATACCTGCTGGTCCCTCTGCGACAAGTCTCGTGTGTGGATCACCCACAGCATCCTCTTGGCATTTCCTCTGAGGCATGCAAGGTAACCGGATCTCCAGATTCTCACTGGCACAGGGAGGGTGACAGCTGCAGCCTTGCTGACAGCTTGGGGAAAGGACAAGGACATCTGAAATTCTATAGCTCTGCTCAGCCCCTGGGACTGAAAATTGCCCTGTCACAGGGCTATGCCTGGCTTCCTGGGTCCCAAGTGATTCCTCGCGCTCTGGAAGCCAGCAGTGTTCTTTTACCCACCTTTGGGACCGTTGGGTCATTTATTGTGTCTTGAGACACTGCAGTCCCTTGAGGGAGGTATCAGCTTGAAGCCACGTGGCTCGGGCTGGTGTGATGGCCCGTGCCCTCATGTTTACCTCCTAGCTTTTTGGGTTGGATGTGCCTTTATACACAGGCTACCCAGGTATAAGGTGGGATGGTGATATGTGTCCTCCCCTCCGGTGGGGCTATCTTTCTTGCTGACAAGATGACAAGGAAAAGCCTGACATTGCTTCTGGCTGGGGTGTCTCAAGGTGGGGAAGGCAGAACTGAGCTGGAGGTGGAGCAGCAGGGCAGCGTGAAATGAGTTTGGAGTAATCTCCCTGATGAGCTCCAGAATTTCAGCAAGGGTTCATCCTAACTCTGAATTTTGGAGATCGCCTTGGGGTGGCAGCAGATCTATCAGAGTGTTGTAGGGGGATTAACGAGGTTAAACAAACATCATGGGACAAGGATGGGGTTAAATCAGCCATAGTGGACCCTGTGGGTTCCCCTCCCGAGCAGGGTCCCTAGGCAGCAGCTGCCTGCAGGACCTGCCCTTCATGCTGTCTGATAGTGCCAAGGGCTTGTGTCAAACCTGGTTCCTGAGCAGAAGCGGTTCTCCAGGTCCTGTGTGCTCCGACAGGTCAGTGCAGCACCCAGGAAACAGCTGTCTGCAAACAGGAGTAAGAAAAATAAAATAATATTTGT